CCCCAAAACTTTATGGTCGTAATTGAAAATTAGGAACAAATTTGAGGTGGTCCTTATGTATTACAAATATTTTTCTTTTAAGGTTTCTGTATCCTTCAGTTTGACTCTTCTCGAGCACCAAGTTGAGACCAGGTTTGCGTGCTTTCATGAAACAAATTTTCCAGTGTTCAAGGAGAACTAAGAAAAATGAACAAGTGCTGGACTATCGTTCAGTTTTATACTTTTAGTGATGAAAGACATCCTAGGATGTTGAATACACATCTTTTATAGTCATGGCTATGTGAGCCAAAAAATAGCACCTTTATTTTTCTAATCAAACTTTCAACTGTAAATGGAAAAGTGAATAGAGAATACTTTCATACCAAAGAGTCTTGGGTGACAATTAACACACATAAAAACAATGATGTATTTTCTAGTTGTCGAGGAAAACAAAAGCCTTTATCACTTGAATGATGGTCTTGCAATATCTTCCTAGGATAAGCTTATATCACCCAACAGACTCGAGCATGGTAAACATGAAGCAGAATAATTCCCAGAAATTGAGAGAAAATCCAAGACAATAGTCAAATGATGGATTAAGGAATACCTATCCATAATAATAATAATAATAGAATAAAAGGATGAGCTAGAGAAATAGCCTAACCAGCATTCTCAAGTGTCACGAAGGCCCCGGACACGATCTTGAATCAGTTTCCTTTCCCAATCTGCTACATCTGCAAAGGCATAATCTGGTAGATTCTCAAACGGCTCCTTCCACTGATCATTTTTAGCCAAATCATAAGTAGCTGCTCTTATCGACCTTTTGTTGGGCCCACAGGGTCTCTTTGATGTGAGTGTATCATAGGCGGTATTTAGCTGCTCAACAAGCACTTCAAGATATCAGGACATAGTGCTATTAAGAGTTGCTAATGCGCTTTAATTAACAGACAAAGGATAGCAGGAATATTGATTCACAAATAATGTTTCTGAATTTGGAAAAAATTTAATGTTCATATAAAAGGTGAAATCTTACATCCATTCCACAGAACCAGAACATATAAGCAATTGAAACAGCAGGAGCCCTTCCCAATCCAGCAGTGCAATGTACGTACACTCTTCCTTTTCCTTCTGAAATTGCCCACTCTAGCAATGAAACAGCTTTAGGTAATACACCCCTTAAGGAATCTGGATCAAAATCTTTTGCCTGCAATTAAAGTTTTGCGATGATCAAAATACACAAAATGAGTGGGGTGTCTTGGAAAAAATAATATTGCAAAACCTAAGAACATTTTATTTTCTTAGGCTAAAAACCTGGAAAAAAAAAAAGAAGTATTTTGAACTCCAGAATTCTTAATGGAAAGAAAAGAAAAACAACCAAATGGTGCCCTTCTTCTATCACATGTCTATAAACTATATCCACTACGCCGAAAACGTCAAAGCCTAGTTATTTTCTATAACCAGGAATTTTTGGATATGGAGCCAGAGCATTATATGTACACTATAAAAACAAGTCTGCAAGATTCTGAAATATGGACAGTCACTGATTTCCTGAATCAGTTATCATTGCTAGGGAAATATAATGCATACCTTACATATTTGATGTTAGCGCTTCATCTATTGACCATAACAACGGCCAAGATAGTGAAGTATAGGATTAACAAAAAGTAAACTAGTTCAATTCACATCAAAGTTGTTGACCATTGAAGGGAATACGTGTTATCATTATTTCACAAAGCTGAATATTATAGTGTAGACCAATGGTTTAAGGGATAGAGGTCTGTGTTCTATTTCGTGCGACCCACCTCCTAGAAATGTTAAGTAGCC